AAAACCAATCATAAAAAGTTGAAAACCACTTGGTTGGTTCGGACGCCAAAAACCATAGCCGATAACCGAGAGCCGAACGCCGGTTTCTGAAACCCGAACGCCGGATGGCTTGGTTTTTGGTTTGGGCGAACACCAAGTGTTTTTAATGACTTAAACATGTTTAAAAAACATTTTTATGATTTAAGAAATGCAATGAAAGATTTTAGCCTAAAGAGCCAAGGTGTAAAGATTGGGTCGGTCTTGATCACAATGAAGACCGACTCACGACACTAAAACTAAGGTCTTTGTTCTTGGTCTTCTTTTAGCTCTTGTTCTTGTCTTCCTTCTTCGCCTTGTATATTCAACGTTTGACTTGATCACGGTGGTTTGGCATTATCAAAACCTGTCATAAGAACAAACACGGCTTTAGTACGAAAACGTGACATGCCCGTGTTTCAACAATAGCTTAAAGTGTCATTTGGTATATATGAGTCATACATCCTTCATGTTAGAAAATAATATACCTTTACTGTGCTACAACCTTAACTTTGAGCTTTTGTTGAGTTTGTTTCCTAGCACTGTATCAGAGACTTCTTGATTAAGAGATCGCGGATTCAAAATTTAACGTGACAAAGTTTAATAAAAATTTAGATTTCATGTACAAGCTAGATTATACGGCCCGTCAAGCAGGCCACGTGTTGGAGCACGCAGAAAGCCCAGGAATACAACGAGAGCCAAGACGTTCAGGCCGGGCACCTAGACCACCGGCCTGACTTCGTGATTACGTTTAAGAATTTTATTTATTTTATTTAATTTCATATATCGTTGTACTTTTAGATTTTCTTTAGGTGAGCGAATTATAAGCTCCTTCGAGGGTTTCTTTTCGGTTTTTTACCTCGATGCTTTTCTTGAACCGACAGGGCTAGGGTTACTTTCATTCTCTATTTATACTTTACGTCCGGCTATTGAATGGGTTAGGAATGAAAGTGATTTAGTTAGACATAATTTCCTTGTTCTTTGTGTTCTCTAAAACCCTAACCCCCCCCCCCCCCGCCATCCTTCCCTTGTTCTCTGCCGGCGGCATAGGTGCTTCCATAGGAGTGCAAGCTTAACACTAAAGGCTCGAAAAGAATATGCCTGTACATGAGAAGACATGTTAGAATATAAAATATTTTTCCAGGGCCACAACTAAAAGTTTAAGTTCTTGGTTAAATTAATTCATTAATACTTCCAATCATTTCCGACAAAGAGATCAAGAGCATTGGTACCTATGATTCGAACCACATACTATTATAATTTATAGTTAAACTTGGTAAACTTTGACCGTTAATTAAATACTCCGGGGTAAAATTTATATTAGATTTTGATAGTAGAATATAGTAATTTTATTTGTTTTATCTCGTAAAATATTTTTAAAAAATTATTTATCTAATTAATATACCATATAATATTACTTAATTATTAGTCATATTATATCATGGTCAGCTAAAAAAATTAAAACTAGACATCTCCCAATGTATTTGTCTAATTGACTTTTTCGAATCAAACTGGATAATTTTGAGTTTCAATTTAATAAAAACTTTGATGTATTTCAACATAAAGTAAACTTTATTAGATTGAGCGTAATGAAAATTTTTAAAATTATATTTTATAATAATAATATGAAATATAAATTGAGAGTAACTAGAGTTTAAAAAGTCAAACATGAGCGTTGAGGATGGTCTAAACTTGAACATAAATTTTTAAACAAAAGAAAGGGTGATTGTCTAAAATAGCACAACAGGCTAACTCAAAAAAGAAACATACATATGGGTAAATATACCCTTTTGGGTCGATGGCCTCGTGGGCCATAATTAATGGAGGAGTTCGTACTCGCATTCACTCATCATTAATGCATGTGCATTGCGTTCTTTTTCTTTAGTTTATGGGTAAGAAAACGAATGGTCTAAATATAATTCAAGATTCTCATGACATTGCGTGATAGTATCATTAAAAGACCCGGAGGCGTTCCGGTATCTTGTTCGTAAAATTGATAGTTCCTATTCCTCTTAACTTTTCTGTTAAATCCTCACTCCGCCCCGCTCCAAACACACTCTCATCCCCTTCAATTGCACCCTACAATTTGATTTTGAATTCAAAGTTTGAAAATGCATTCAATAATTGTGGACTAAATTTATAATATTTGATTTGTAGGGACTAAATATGTAAAATGACATATAACTGGAGACATTTTATAGAATTTACTAAAAAGTTTAAATTAAAAGTTAAAACTACGGAGTACTTAATTTCTTCACTGTAAATATTAAAATTAGTTACTCATATTAAAAGTAGTTACTCTGTAACAGTTAAAATTAGTTGCTCCATAAATTGAATATTACTCTATAAGAAAAAAGGTAATCTCGTCCTGCTCGTTCCACCAGACCTTAATTTTAAAGTTGGTGGAAGATATAAATTAAATTATTTACGGAGTAGTTCAATGGAATGGTGGCAGCGAGGTATCCCAAAAGGGTATATTTGCCCATGTCTATGTTTCATTCTTGAATAAGTTTTGTTGTAGTACTATTTAGCCACTTCTAAGTTCTAACACTCACCTTGTCTTTTACCCAAATATTATATTTGATTCAAGATATTTGGAAAGAAAAGAAAAGAAAATGAATGTCTCTCTTTTTTATCACTAAAATGGAAGTAATTTGATTTTCTTTCCACATAGTACACTTGTCTTTTCACTTTCTTTTCCTTCAATTCCATATATTTTCTTTCTTTTCATCTCTAACAAAAAAAAAATTGTTTTCATTACATTTTTTTCTGTTTCAAATTCTTTAAACCAAACATAGTGAAAGTGTTTAAAAAACTACTCTAAAGGTAAAAATTAAACTAGCTACTCCAAAGTATGCTTCTTTTGGGAATATTTTATGGACCACAACTATAAGCTTGAGTTTTTGGTTGAATTGGTTCCTTCACAACTTTTGTCTCTGCGTGTTAGGGCTTGAACTTGGGTGAACTTTCTCATGAATCCTGAAGAATGAGCTTCCCATCACCCAAGTCGGGAGAGAAATTTCTATGTAACTCATTTTTCTGCGCACAAATGAAATTTGAAAATCATGCTATGCTATTTTAAAGACACTATTTTGACCACATATTTTTTTCAGACACATAGAAAAAACTATTGTTTATATTTACATAAACAATTATTGCCTCTGCCTCAGTGTATTTGTCTAATTTGACTTTTTTGAGTCAAATTAGATAAATTTTAAGTTTGAATTTAATAAAAACCGTAATGTATTTTAACAGAAAACTGAGTTTTTTAGATTGAGTGTAATGAGAATTTTTCAAATTATATTTCATTATATTAATATGCAATATAAATTGAAATTAACTGGAGTTTAAAGAGTCAAACATTAGCGTTGAAGATGGTCTAAAGTTGAACATAAATTTTTAAACAAAAGAAAGGGTGATTGTCTAAAGTCTAAACTCTAAAATAGCACAACAGGCTAATTCAAAAAAGAAACATACATATGGGTAAATATACCTTTTTGGGGTCGATGGCCTCATGGAGTCATGGGCCATAATTAATGGAGGAGTTCGTACTCGCATTCACCTATCATTAATGCATTGCGTTCTTTTTCTTTAGTTTATGTGTAAGAAAATGAATGGTCTAGATGACATATCAATGATATATACTCCGTATTCGGTTAGGGTGAGCAAGGATCGAACCGATCTATATATTTTCCCAAAAAAATCAAGAATAACGAATCGATAAAATACCGCAAAATAATCTAACCACATCAAACCAAATGGTTGGTCTGGTATTTTTTGGGAATCGTATGAGATTACTTCTCATACCGAAATTTTTGAACCGAACATGTATACTACTCTCTCTATCTCGGAAAATATTTCTGAATTTGACTTTTTGGATGGTGTTTAAGTGAGTGTTTTTTGGTGTTTGACTTTCCAATTTTACCATGAGTAATTTGCACTAAATAGGACTAAAACATTAGTCATTTTTCAATGTAAGACTTATTTTTTTTATTCCTTAAATAGGACTTAATAATGATTACTGAAAAGAATAATGTCCAAGTGATGCTGAACATTTAGTTGAATAATGACTAATAGATAATGACCAAGGGTCCTACATTGAGAAATAAAAACATATTATCTTATATTGAGAAAATCATTATGTTTTAGTCCTATTTAGGTAAATTACTCATTATGTTTTTTTATACTCTAATTATCACATCATCACTTTTTCATTAATAATTTATCTATCACATCTTAATTACTTCTAGTCATTGCATCAAAGATAATTTTAAAATCAACTACAAATATATACTTTTTATTTCACTCGTTTGCCAAAATAGGAACTTTTCTAAGAAACTAAGGAAGTACTCCCTCCATTTTTTAAAACATTTCTTTCTTTAATTTTTCACTTTCATAAAAATATTTGTGTCATACTTCATTTTACCCTACTTATCACATCATACTTTTTCATTAATAATTTATTCATCACATCTTACTTTTATTCATCACAATAACACTAAAATTGAAAAATCAAACACAAATATACATTTTTTATTTCTTCTAGAAGTCAAAATAAAAATTCTTTTATGAAAGAGAAGGAGTATAATTTAGTGCCAAGTATTCCATTGCTTCCTATAAAACCACCCCACCCTTCTTCTCCTCTTCATCTTCATCCGAAAGAAAAACATAAAAAATCACAAAAGCAAAACATAAAAACAGAAGCAATACGCAGGTCGTCCTCATTCTTTCTTTCTATCTTGACAATGGCGGCTATCACTCTCCGTTGCTCAGACACATCATTGTTTCTTCTTTCTGTTCTCGTTATTGTGATGATGATGGTCCAACCATCAAACGGCGGCTCCAATGACGGCGACGACCTTCACTCCGTTCCGCTAACGGTCGTCAAGGGTGCGGTCGCCGAAGGCGCCGTATGTCTTGACGGAAGCCCCCCTGTGTATCAGTGGGCCGCCGGAAGGGGCGGCGGTGTCAAGAATTGGATCATCTTCCTTCAAGGAGGAGGGTGGTGTTTGAACACCACAATGCAACTCCCCGGGAGGGATTCCGTGGAGAGTTGCGCGGCGCGCACGACTATCTTCCTCGGTTCCTCCCGCCACATGGCGCCGGCGAACTTCACGCAAGTACTTTCTCCCCTGTCGAACACGAGCTATTTCTACAACTGGAATAGAGTGTTCGTTAGGTACTGTGACGGGGGATCGTTTGCTGGAAATGCAGACAAACCGGACCCCGTCACTCATGTCTACTACAGAGGGGCGAGGATCTTTGACGCTGTCGTCAGAGATTTGATGGCGAGAGGGCTGAGAGGCGCTCGCAATGTTCTTTTTGCCGGGGGATCTGCGGGCGGATTGGGGGCGATGATCCACTGCGATCGCTTCTGCGGACATTTCCCTAAGAATGTCGTTAGGGTAAAATGTCTCGCCGACAGCTCCTTCTTTCTCCGCGTCAAAGATCCTTCCCGCGCGGAGTTTCTCGACCGCGTCTTCCGCACCGTGGTTGACGTGCAGCGTCCACACCGGGCATTACCCGCGGGCTGCACGTCAAAAATGAGTGCGGCGGCATGCTTCTTCCCCCAAAACTTGTTGCGGTACATCAAATCCCCGATTTTCATCATAAATCCGGTGTTCGATGCGTACCAAATAAAAACAACGTTTTCGGTGGATTTGAATAACCAAGTCGGAAACCATACCGTCATCAGCCGAAGTAATGTGACACTACTTCAAGGTTTTAGACGCGAAATGATCAATGCCCTGCCCCCGGTGAAAGCCGGGAATGGGTATTTGATCACTTCGATTTATGGTCACGACTTTGCTATTCAAACAAGCTATAAAATACACATGTTTGGCAACAACAATAGATCCAAAACCATTGAGGACGTAGTCTTAGATTGGTTTTTTGATCGGACACCTAATGTGTACTACATTGATCCATCAGATAAACCTTTCTTTGGACCACCTCACAATTAATTAATGAATAATAGTTGTTGTTGGCATTTTAAACTCAATGAGGTGAAAAAAATTACTCCGTGGTGAATTATTGTACGCACTGACATATGGTGTTATGTATGAAACTGTCTTCACTTTTGTATTTTTTTTAAATGCACGTTATATTATGTTTATCGATTATCCATTGCATTACAATTATTAAAATAGGGTAGGTTTGGAAGTTTTAAAAAGAGAATTTTTTAAATCTTTAATACTCCGTACTATATAACATAATTATAGACTTGGAAGTCTAAACTCAATGGAATAACAGAAAACGGCAAGGATAAAGAATTGAAAATTAGAATAAAAAGAGTTTAAATTTGAGTCTCCAAATTCCAAAAGTGGGACGCATGTCTGCCCATTTCTGCGTAAGTAAAAGAATTACTTACTCGGCATTACTTGAATATAAGAAGTTAAAGTTAAAAGTTAAAACTACTTAATTCTAAAGTTGGAGGAAGATATAAATTAAATAAATTAATGAAATGAAACAAAACCTATTCAAGAATGAAACATAGTCATGGGTAAATATACCCTTTTGGGATACCTCATTGCCACCATTCCATTAATTAATTTACTCCTTCCCTTGCTATTTGTTTGCGACATTTTGATTTACAAAGTAAAATATTAAATTTTTTCAATTCATTTTAATTAAACATTGGTATAGAATTAATTAAAAAATAAATTTATGTAATGTAAAAATACATGAAAAGTTCTTTAAAATAAAAGATGTCAAGAATATTTTTTATCAAATAACTAATGAAAATATACAAATAAACAAAAGTTTCCGTAACTCTTAAAAAAGCAAATGTGGCATTATTTTAGAGACAGAAGGAGTAATTTATATATTCCACCAAGTTTATGTAGTGAACCGTATTGTTAGGGATACACCAAAATTTGTATACCCCTTATAATATAAGTGTATCAAAGAATCACAACCACAACCATTATCATTGCACATATAATTATTGTTCGTCTATACAAGGTAAAATCTTGGTCTATACGAAATTTTGTTTGCGATAAATTCTTTGGTAGACTTAAGGTTCCGTCATAAATCTACATATGAGTAAAATAAATATTTTCTTAGTACTTAAATAAATATCCATTTTATTTAATAATCCTGTAATAAAAAAATATATTTTTATATAAAAATATCCAAAAAATTATACGGAGTATACACCAAAGAAGCAAATTTTATTGGCACATCCGCGCATATTGAAAAATTAAACATAGATATGGGCAAACATACCTTTTTGGGATATATGACGGGCCTCATGGGCCTCCACACTCAATAATTTACTTTGGAGTAGCTAGTTTAATTTTCACCTTTAGAATAGTTTTTTAAACACTTTCGCTATGTTTGGTTTAAAGAATTTGAAACAGAAAAAATGAAATGAAAATAATTTTTTTTGTAAGAGATGAAAAGAAAGAAAATATATAGAAGGAAAAGAAAATGAGAAGACAAATATACTGTGTGGAAAGAAAATTAAATTCCTTCCATTTTGGTAATAAAAAAGAGAAACTTTCATTTTTTTTTCTTTTCAAAGATCTTGAATCAAATATAATAATTGGGTAAAAGACAAGGTGAGTGCTAGAAGTGGCTAAATAGTACTACAACAAAACTTATTCAAGAATGAAACATAGACATGGGCAAATATACCCTTTTGGGATACCTCGTTGCCACCATTCCATTAAACTACTCTGTAAATAATTTAATGAGTGAATTTCTAAATCAGTCCTTTTTAATAAGGTGTTTTCCCAAATTAGTCCTTAATAAATAATATTTACCAACATGGTCTTCTATAATAGAGATGCATTCCCTAAATAGTCCTCTGCTGAAAATGTCTATTAAATCATTTAAATGTCAGTCAAATAGAAGGTATTTTGATATTTTCTATCATCTAAACTTAAAGTATGCTCTTGAAATGCTTCTTTGTACTTAATTATTTTTCCAAACTGATAATTTCTAAATAAATTCTTTTCCGAAATAGAGTCCACGAGCCTACTTGAGGTGGTTCTGTTCCTCTAGTGGCCACCACTTGATTTGAAATTATCATTTTGAAGATTTATTCATATTTTAGATGATGGAAAATACAAAAATACACTCTATTTAGCTATCATTTAATATTCATTTTTGAAAGAAGACTATTTAAAGAATACATTTCATACTATGTTAGTAATCATTGTTTATTGAGGACTAATTTGGGAAAATACCTTATTAGACAGGACCATTTTGAAAATATACTCTAATTTAATTTATATGGAGTATCTTCCACCAACTTTAAAATTAAAGTCAGGTGGAACGAGTAGGACGAGATTTCCTTTTTTCTTATGGAGTAATATTCAATTTATGGAGCAACTAATTTTAAGTGTTACGGAGTAACTACTTTTGATATTTACAGTGAAGAAATTAAGTAGTTTTAACTTTTAACTTTAATTTTTTTGTAAATTTCATAAAAGATATTCAGTTATAGATCGTTTTACATATTTAATCCCTACATATAATTAAATACCGGAGTATTACTAATTTAGTTCCCAATTATTATATTCATTTTCAAACTTTGACTTTAAAGTCAAATCTACTTGCAGGGTACAATTGAAGGGGATGAGGGTGTATTCGGGTCAGAACATGGTGGGGGGTTTACTGGAAAATTTAGAAGGTAGAAACCATTAATTTAGTAATGAGGTTCTCCTTCATATTGAGGCCATTCGTTTTCTTACACATAAACTAAACATAAAGAATGCAATGCACATGCATTAATGATGAGTGAATGTGAGTACGAACTCCTCCATTAATTATGGCCCACGAGGCCATCAACCCCAAAAGGGTAATATTACGCATATGTATGTTTCTTTTTTGAATTAGCCTGTTGTGCTATTTTAGACAATCACCCTTTTTGTTTAAAAATTTATGTTCAAGTTTAGACACTCCTCAACGCCCATGTTTGACTTTTTAAACTCTAGTTACTCTCAATTTATATTTTATATTACTATAATGAAATATAATTTTAAAATTTTTTATTACGCTAAATCTAATAAAGTTAACTTTATGTTGAAATACATTAAAGATTTTATTAAATTGAAACTCAAAGTTTATTCAGTTTGACTCGAAAAAATCAAATTAGACAAATACACCGGGACAGATGCAATAATTATTTACTCCATATGTAAATACAAACAATAGTGTTTTTCTTTGTTTCCGAAAAAATATGTGGTCAAAATAGTGTCATTAAAATAGCATAGCGTGGTTTACAAATTTCATTTGTACACGAAAAATGAGTTACGTAGAAATTTTTCTCCTGACTTGGGTGGTAGTAAGTCCACTCCATAAAATTCATGAGAAAGTTTGCTCATGTTTAAGCCTTAACACGCGGAGACAAAAGCTGTCAAGCTAAGGAACCAATTCAACCAAAACATCAAACTTATGGTTGTGGCCCAGGAATTGTTTTTTATATTCTAATGTACCATATCAAGTGCAAGTATAGCCTTTTTTCGAGTATTGCACGTGAAATTTTAATTTTTTTAAAATTTGGTGGCGCTGAGTTTCGAACATGTAACTTCTTAGTCAACAAGCTAGGACCCCAGTGTCATGTCAAGGAACCAATCCAACTAAAAACTCAAACTTATAGTTGTAACCCAAAACATATTTCTTATATTCTAACAAAAATATTACTCCCTCCGTCCTAAAACTTTGTTCCCAGAGCACTATTCCAACTTCACAGAAATTTATATTTATTTGTGTTTTTTCATGGCCTTTATGATAAAATAAAATATTCTTGTCACCACTTGTTTTGTTGAACTTTTGATGTAGTTTTTAAATATGTATGTTTTATTTTTTATTTCTATACTAATATTTAAATAAAATAGATTGAGAAAACTTAGGATTTTTCTTCATCTTGTGCAACGGGAAGAAAGATATAGGACGGAGGGAGTACCTCTTTCTGTAATACGGAGTACTATATTGAAAAAATTTGATGAAGAGATACTATATTCGAGGTAATAATGCCAAAGAAATACGGAGTATATTACTCCGTACACACTAAAGGTGAAAACTAGCTACCCCAAAGTAAAATGAGGGTGGACGGGTGGAGGTCCGTGAGGTCATCTATCCGAAAACAACCATGTTATACTTACACTAAAAAAATGTATCCTAAAGTTACATCAAAGATATACACTAACATTATGTTTAGTTCAAGGATTTTGAAAGAAAAAGAAAAGAAAATGGTTTTATCTCATTTTTCTCATCAAAATGGAAGGAATTTGATTTTTCCTCCACTTGGTACATTTTTTCTCCTCATTTTCTCAATATTTTGAAAACCGGACCGGACATCGAACCGGACAAATCACTAGGTCAAGAGTCAACCGGTTGAACCGGGTTGACTCGGGTCAATGACCCGGTCAACGACCCATTACTTGGTATATAATATTCATAGTTATGTTTAGATAATAAAAAATTAAATAATACCATATTCTGTGGGCTATTTTTAAAGATAATAAAATATTATTACATAACTTAAATATGCATATTATTTCTAAATAATTACTTCCTCCGTCTAACTTTAATCTTTCAATTTGAATCGTACACACATATTAAGGAAATATGTAAATGTTATTCTCAATGTTAAATAAAATATTTAAAATTGTATTTTTTTCTTCTTCATGTTATTTTCAATGTCATTGTTCATATATATACTCTTTCATAATTTCCATATTTTATTATAATTTGTATATATTTCTTCATTTTATAGATGATAATATTTGTTTAGATATAAATTATTCATTATTATTTAATACAAAAAATAATATTTTTTTTTACTTTGAAATATTTTAAAAGATTATAAAATAATCACACAACACAAACATGATCTTTCTTACAAATAGTTAGAAGTTAGAAGTTTTTTTAATTCACTCAACACAAATAAAAAACACAATATATACTATTCTGCATGACTTTGTTAACAAGTGTTGAGTAGCTTAAGTGATTATAGTCTTAGAGAGTTGTATGGTGCGAGGTCTAGTGTTCAAATCCTATCTCCATCATTTTATTTTATAGACAAAAAAATTAAAAAAAAAACTTTAGAAAGAGACCCGCGAGTCGCCAGAGTCGACCCGGTTCATCGGTTCCGGCAAGTCTACCGGGTTTGGACGGGTCAATGCAGATCCGGGCTTTACATTAAAACC